TTAGCAAAGGATTCTGCTTGTAGTTCTATGTGATCATCCACTATAAGGACAAAATTGCTCCAATTGAAAGTTTATAATACCAATTTCTCCTTTAGACAAACTCCTAGGGTAAAATTACACTTTATTAACCCTTATAATTGCTAAAAAAACGGGTAACTTTGGTTAAACATTACTATACAGTGTAACATTGTACCTTTTTCAAAACTTCTAGACTAACGTTGCACCAATATAAAGTTAAAGATATTAGTTACATCTTACAGAAAACAACCATTATTTCATGATTAAGGTCCAAAGTGATATTTTAAAATTAAAAATGATCTAATTTTAGAAAAATAAAAATTATAAAATGTACTTAAATAAATATGCTTGGGACCTAAGTCTTGCAATTACAAAGAAGACTTGTGACCCTAGATCATCAGCAACAATAATGCAAGTTGAATTGCTGGCTCTAGAAAAAGTGCATAATTTGGACTTGGCTAATTAATCTTCTCCTTGATAAGACTTTAGTTGGATGAATGTGGGTTTGTAAAACTAAAACTCTCTTGCAGCTCTTTAGATGTCTTCAAGGCACGTCTGGTGGCTGAGCAAAGGTAACACTCAAGAGTATGTCGTCGATTATGAAGAAATCTTTGTTCCTAGTACCCATCTTACTTCTGTTTACAATCTTCTTGCCATTGATGTGGTTAAGCAGTGGAATCTTCATCAGGTGGATGTCAAAAATTCTTTGCTTAAAAGTCAAAAATTCTTAAAAGTTTACATGAAACCTCCTCCTAGCTATCTTCATCCACTAAATAAAGTTTGTCATCTTCGTCAAGCTTTATATGATGTTCAAAAAGCTTCTCGTGCTTGGTTCACTAAATTTTGTTCCACTATCAATCAGTGAGGGTCTTCATGTAGCCCTTACGTTTATTCACTTGTTGTTCACATAATTGATCGTGGAATTGTTCTGTTGCTCCTCAATGAGGATGATTCAATAGGGATCCGCGAAGTCAAGACCTTTCTTGAAACATTAAATCATCCGGGGGCCTTACAAATAGTTTCAACTCATAATATTTTTCCTATAAAATAATTACAACTTCACTTTTTTGCATGCAGGTTTTTCTACTTTGTTTTCACGAAATTCAATTAAAATTTTATACCATGAATATTTAAAATTTAGTTATTAATTGGCTCCGTCGAATATAAAATATGCCGATCTATCAATGACCAGCAATTAGCTAAGAAGACTATTTAAAAATATAAATATTATATCCATCATGGATTCATGATAGAATTGAAGTCATTCAACATGGAAACTGGATAACGACCCTAAATTACTCATCAATATTATAGTTTCGGATAATTTGAACTCATTGATCTCGAAATTTTAATTTTTTAAGTGATAGTTGAATAATTTTTTATCATATTTTTAAAACTTTCTTTTTAAGACCTAATAATGCATAACAAATATAATTTTAAAGCCTCATTCTCACTCTCACTCTCACTCCCACTATCAATCTCAATCCCTATAAATTCAAGCTGTGTACCAAACACAGCCCTAGTTTTTGCGAGAATTAGAGGTCCACAAACACGATTTTCACTATCACTCTATTTTTTGCATGAATCAAACGATTTTCGTATGAATGAGTTAGACAGAACTAAGCATCACACTGCAGCTCTAATTCTTGACATCATAACATCTTGTTCTTGCAAAAAATGTGATCTAACACAATTTTAAGGCTAATTCACGCAAGCACAAAAACTAGTTCACTCGTGAATGAGTGACATTTCAGCATAGAATTTTTTAAAGTTGTAACTCGGGCAATACAACTATAAATTTAGTAAGTTATAGATCATTGAAAAGCTCTTGAAATATAGTTTTCAATAAATAAGCTTTATGACTAAATTCAACTTAATTTGTATTTGATATCTCTAATCAATTTCTAATAATCATAACTTTCTCATTAAGACTCCATTTTTAGTACATAAACTATCATAAAAAATCTAGAGTCTACTTTCAAATGAGATATATTCCATTTCAAAATAATATGTATTGTAAGAGATATGAATAAAAATGTGACTATAGGTCAAAACTGAATTTTCTGCAGAATTTACATCAAAGCTTAAACTTCAAATATTGATAACTTTTTCAACTTAACTTTGCTTTGAGTAAATAAAAGATCTTTGAAAACCTTATGGAGTTAATGATAAAAAAATTCCTAATCTTGTGAGTTATAAATGACCAAAGATAAAAAAAAACATGATAATAGAAAATTATTTCTCACTATTTCTTATTTAAGAACTAAAATACATGCTTTGATTTGAAATATCTCAAGCTAATTAATGCATATCTAAGTCAATGAGTTCAATAAAAAAATTTCTAGCCTAAGGATATAAATATAATACCAATCAAGTCCAAGGCTATGATGCATCCATACTTGCATAAAATGGTATTCACTCTTGTTAAGCTCATTTTGGATGATCCTTGTCTTTATCTTTTTGTTCTTCATTAATATTGAGTGTAGCATGCTAATGGTAGTTTTAATTCTTTTTCTTCATGCTCATTCTCATTTGTACTTTAGATAACCTTCAATGACATTATATGAATAAAATGATTAGTTTAAGTATCAGTATGCATAAGAACAACTCTAAAAGCTATTATGTCGTGCATATGAAAAGTCCTACATTTATTTAGTAAATATCCAAGTTATGAAAATATGATAGTATAAAATAAATTCTATGTACAGAAAATTATTTTTTTAAATCTCATATAATATGGAACAATATAGATGAAAATACTTTAAAGCACATGTTCATTTATTGTAGTCAACTACTATATTTATGAAAACAATTAGATATAAGTATAATTAACTTCACTAATATTTGTCATCATCAAAACTTATATTAAATAGAATATCACAAGCCATTATGTCCAAGAGATGCCTCTTTGATCTTGTCGCTTTCTTCTTTTAAAGCGAGGGAGTAGTCGTTCCATGTTTCACTTAAAACGGTCACTACTCCACTTCTCTATTGGACTGGGTCGGTACTTGCCTTGGTATTTTTCAATCCTATTTCCATTTAATTGGCCAAAGAGAACATGCAAGGGAAAATGATAATTAGGGACTTTGCAAGAACATTAATAATAATTCTAAATTCTAAATTATTGAAATCATAATAAAAAACCATGATCCTTATTTGCAATAAATTATTTTTTATTGATTGACTTGAGATTTGCAACGACCTTTGGTAAATTCTCAACTAATACTACAAAGATTTTCAACTAAATTTTGTTAATTTCCAAAGCGATCACAAAAAAAATCACAAGTGATTGGCTTACAATTCACAAATGACTTTCATATATTTCCAACTGATGTTACAAATAATATCAAATGTATTTAATAGATTTTTCAAGTGATTTATCTATATATTGAAAGTAAAAAATTATAGGTGATTGGCTTGTGGTTTATAAGAGACTCATAAATTCAAAAATAAGGTTATAAATAATTTCAACGATATTTACTTGATTTTCTAAGTAGTTTATTTGTATATTAATAGTAAAAATTGATATTCTCAATTAACTTTTGTAAATTCTCAATTGATATTACAAATGATCCCAAGTGTAGTTTAGTAGATTTTCTAGCTGAGTATTCACATTTTTTTATTACAAGTAAGAATCATGATTTTTTATTAGAATTTCAATAATTTAAGCTATGTAATTGTCATTAATATTCTTACAGGGTCCCTAGTTGTCATTTCCCCAACATGTTAGGCTAAACAGTGTCCAATCACAAATTAGGTTACAAAACTGACTTTTGCTAATAGACTTTGACAAGCTGATTTTTAGCAAATGAAAAAAAAATCAAATTTTTTAATTTTCGTTCACCATTCGACAATATTTATCTGTTAAACTTAATAGTTATTCATAAATGCCACCTTGTCATTATTTGACCTTATCATCTGTGGGTAATACTTATATAACTAGACCAATTAGTGGTGACACCTGTTCATTAGTTAAGTAAAGGTTAAAATATGGTCAAATGAAATAATTCATAATTAAATTAATATAATTGTAAAATCATAGTTAAACCAAAGAATCGGTCAATGCTTTCTGACCAGAACACCCCATTATATTAAAGAAAAGAAAAATAGTTGAATAGCCAAAACCACTCTCCCATTATTTTTATATAAATTTGTATGTGTTAGTGTCTTGAGTAAGTGACGCATCACTTATCATCAAACGTAATAATGGTTTCCAGTTCCACCTCTTATTGAATCATCTCAATAACAAATTCAGGCTAGTTTAAGTACTAATAACTCTGGTCTTTTTAAATAAGTGATTGGTATTAGAATCTTAGTTTTATGTATGAAATAAACCTAATTAATATAGTCTATCTTTTTACTGACGAATAATACTTGAGGTCTTAGGAGAAAAATCAACTTAATTTGTTTTGAATAATTTTCCTTTGGACCACAATTTGTTTTGGGTAATTTACAATTTTTAGTTTTCATTTTTAATTCAACCATTATATTAGAAAAACATGTTAGTTTGTAAGTTGCTGATCAGATTAGTTTAATATAATCAAATCTTAATTAGTAAGAAAAAAGAAAAGAAAACATATTAGTTTTGCATAAAATCTCTCTTAAATTTTACTGAAATTTATTGGCATTTAATTTATTTTAAAAATATATAAGAAAATTATCAGTTTGCTACCTATCAAATATATATAATCAAATCTTAATTAGTAAATTCTTCATTAACCAATCATATAAAATACATCTCATTCTTCAAGATCTATAGTATATGTATGGAAGAACATGTCAAACTTCCCATAAATAACAAAGAGAGGCCAGCTCGTATATTTTAATAAAGATCAAGTTCAAGTATTGTTGGAAGACTAATAAAATTACAGTATAAATCCCATTATTCTAATAGAAAATTGCTTGAATGGACACAACTACCCCCTAACTTTGTGTTATAAATTGATGTGGTCGACGCTTGCAGAGATTTACAAACATTCAAACCTAATTATGGCTTTCAAGAGGCAATATCTTATTTTGGTGATTCTCTTTCTTTTTGTGTTGCTTCTTTCTGCTGAAGCAACAGCAAAGAAGGTTGGTGAGTGATTACTTCTTGTCGAATATTTTCTAGTTTATTTGATATTAGCAGAACTTGCACATACTCATCTATATATGTTCTATCTCGAACTTTTCATATGAATCGATGCTATTTAAATTTTATAGAACTAACAATATTATATTTTAAAAGAGAGACTCGATCTGATCAAGGCTAGGAATGCATATGGGTCTTAATTTTGTTTTCTAAGTGGGTTCTTCTGTTTTTCCTTTCTGTTTTTTTTTTTTGCTTTTTTTTTTTTTTTTTTTGCTTTTGCTTGTACTTTTTCGGGTTTTGTGTGCTCATGATATATAGTCTTCGCGCTTTGTGGCCAAACGAAACAGAAAAAACCTGACAAACAAAATATTTATAATTTATAATAGATGGACAAATAAATTGATTTATAAGATATTTAATTAGAAGGAAACAAGATTTGTAGTATTATTATTATTATTATTAATTTTAGGGTGGGGAGAAGGGATGGGATTATTGTTGGTTTCGGTACAGATGAATAAATTAAAATAAAAAGAAATTTATAAATTGATGAGATAAGTATCAGACAAGAAATAAAAGAATGCGGCACCAATGGATATTGAAAAACTCAGTAATCTGGCCTTAATTATTAATTGTCTGCCCTCAATAGGAAATTACTTTCTTTCAAATAGATTAACTCAGTGTTTATATATAAGGAATTGAAGTGAAAAAGGTTGTTTGAATAAAATGATGAAATTGTCTCTTTTCTATACAAAATAAAACCTAACGAGTGTGCAATTTGCCTTAGCTTGTCTCCCTTTTTTGAGAAAGTGACAATTAGGGACCCTCATAAGAATATTAATGACAATTAAAAACATTAATAAGTGCTCTTTAAGTCTAAAGGCATTTATTGGTGAACTTAGGATGTAACATATCAAGACTTTTTTTTTTTTTTACAGAAACGTAGACCAAATAGAATTTATGATATGCTCATCTGGCTTCTCGTTGAATCACATGATGACCTTACAAATTAACTGCAGATCAAACTCAAAGATCCCATTTCTTGGTTATAAATTCAAAAGCAGAAACAGAATCTGAATGAGTTCACTTGACACGCACACAGATAAGTAAAATGGGCATAGGGATGAAGAGATTAGATATGCAATGCCCAATTTCTCTTAAAACTGTTTGGGTGGGGTAAGTTAATATTTCATAGGGCTAATGAGATTAATTTACCAAAAAGAAAAAGAAAATAAAAAGAAAATTTTTTGGGGGCGGATTGCGTAAAATAGTCGACACAATATTTGTTCCATCTCGTAGAAAAATTAGAGTGAAATTCTCTCTCGAACAATTTATTCTCGTTGACATTCATTGGAAACATCTGACTATATCATGAAATAAAAAGCACCAATGCTTCTCAAATTTTATTTTCTATATATATATATATATATATTGACACACATACAAACAATGCTATTATTAGCATATTGATTGATTCAATTCTCTTTTTGATTATCAAAAATGAAGAAAAATAATAGTTGAATTCTTGTTTTTCTATAGATTCACAAGAGAGAAGGATACTCGCCACCCAAGTATCAAGCAATCGATGTTTGAAAAGAGTGACATCACGTTATAAACCTCGTTGCCACAATTATTAGCAATAATAATAATAATAATAATAATAATAATAATAATAATAATGTAATGCTTCTGATCTATTTGTAAACTCATTGTCTAAATAGTTATTTAGTTATTTTGTGTATTGTAATGTTATTACAAACCCAAGGGCTCCACAAGAATTATGTAATGTTCAAATATTTATAAATATTTATGGATTTACATTACTTAATAAGCTCAGACAGATCAATCTTTATGATTTTGTGTGGACCATTATAGTCGGACTACACAAGTGAGCCCAATGGATAAAAGCCTAACCTACAACTTTGTAACCATTAGTTATTCTCTATTTTTCAATTGACTGAGTCAAAGATAATATGAGATTAATTAATTTATTTATTTATAAAGTTTACTGATTTGATCCATATAAGTCGATCAGTCAATAATTAAAATACATAATACTTTTCACTCTCCATTATCTCTAAACTCTTTGCAAACTACTGGGGTCCAGTGGGTTGTTAGTTTGCCAATTCTCAAGGTAAACGAGGAGTGACAATCAAACATATATTTTTCATGTACACATGTTACTTTACTTAATCTTAGTTGTAATATTTTTGAAGAGTTCTTTAATTATTTACGAAGCACCCATACTTTAAAATAAAAATATAAACGTGCCCGGGTTCAATACACGTCTGATACGGTTAGTTACTGATACACATCAATATTCTACTATTTTTATTGTCATATTTTTTTCATTAAAAATATTTATATGACTTAAAAAATTAAAAAAGTAATATTTTAACAGGTAAATGAGCAAATTACCCCTTGAATTTTAGGTCCAAAAGCATATAGTCCTTGAACTCATTTACTGTGCCAATTTTCTCTCAACCTTTAAAAAAATGTGCAATCTGACCTATGTTATTAACAAAAGTTAACTTTAATAGTTAGTTAACTAAAAATAACAAAAAAGGCATAAAAAATGACAGAGAAAAGGTTGGATCCTCTTTTGTAATTTTTTGATCCTTTTCTATAATTTTTGAGGTCATTTTCTGATCAACTAATTATCAAAGTTAACTTTTATTAACGGCATGAGTTAGATTGCAATGTTTTCAAAAGGTGAGAGAACAATTTGTACATAAACAAGTTTAGGATCATTGGTGCTGATATACACTATTTGAATTTGGTTATAAATATATTTATATTACTTTACAAATTCTTTTATAAGATCATACTTTATTACTTCACTCTCTGCTTGCAGGTTTCTCTTCGTTTTTAAAATTCAATTAAAACATTATACTATGAACATTAAAATAGTCGTTATAAATTGACTCCGTCAAATATAAAATATCCCGATCTAACCTGGAAGATTTGGACATAAATAGGAAATCCGTAGGCTTATAAGAAGAAATTTAACTTAAATAAGTTAAAATGTTATTTTTAAATTTAAAATTTTTAAAGTTATACATCTTATGAAGTATTTAAGATAGTTATCCCATATCTAATAAGATTTTCTAGTACTCCAACAAACCCTTAAAATAATGTATTTTAAATTATATATAAATATAAAGATATTTAATAAGATCTCATGGTTCAAGAAAATGCCTAACAAAAAATGAAAGAGAAACATCTTAGTTCCTGTTTATAAAAATAAAGAGGATATTTAAAATTGTGCCAATTACAGAGGAATTAAAATTATAAGTCATACTTTTATTGTATGAAAAAGTGATTGAGCACAGGACATATCTTCGCCTTTTCATACATGTGAGTGATATTAATTACTTCTTGTTGAATCTCTTGTAGCTTATTTAATATTAACAAAACATGCACATACTCATCTATTTTCTATCTCAAACTTGTCATAAGAATCTATGCTATTTAAATTTTACAGAACTAACAATAGTGTAATTCAAACTTATAAAAGAGACCCGATCTGACGAAGGCTAGGAACACACATGGGTCTTAGTTTTGTTTTCTATCTGGGTTCTTCTATTTTTCCTTTCTGGGTTTCTTTTTTTTTTTTACTTGTACTATTTCTTTTTTAAGAAGTATAATACATGTTTTGATTTGAAATTTCTTGAGCCAGTAAATGCATACTTAAATCAATTAGTTTAACACAGAAATTTCTAGCTTAAAAATATTATATCTATCAAATCAAATGCTATGATGTATCCAAGCTTATGTAAATGGTTTTCATTCTTTTTAAGCTTATTTTGAATCATCCTTATCTTTATCTTTATATTCTTCATTAATATTGAGCGCAGCATGCTAGGGATGGCTTCAATTCTTTCTATTCATACTCACTCTCATTTGTACTTTGGATAATCTTCAAACATGAATAAAATGGTTAGTCCAAGTATCAATACACTTGAGAAGTCTTATATTTAGTAAATATCCAAGTGATGAAAATAATACTTTGAGCACTCTTGGATATTCAATCATTTTAGAAAAAAAAAATTATGATAATATAAAATAACTTCTATACACATAAAATTATTTTTCCAATCTTATATAATATAGAATTATATAGATAAAAAATACTTTAAGGTGCTTGTTCTTTAGTTATAATTAACTACTAATTAACTACTATATTTATAAAAATAATTAGACATAATTATAGTGAATTTCTTTAATATTTTGTCATTATCAAAACTTATATAAATCATAATATCACAAGCCATTATATATATTCAACAAATGTCACAAGCCAATATATTTGGACTGGGCCGTTACTCGCTTGGGTGTCTTTCAAGCCGATTTCCATTTAATCGGTCGAAGAGAACATGATTTTTGCTAATAAATTTTTGAGCTGATTTTTAGCAAATGAAAAATAAATCAAATTGAAAAAAATTACATATAGGTCTCATGGTGTATATTTATTTACAAGTAAGTCTTATAAAATTCAGAAACCACAACTAGGTCCCTTGGGACCTAAATGTAATTTGAAATTGAGATAAAAAAGATAATAATACCCTTATTAAACATATACTGTACATTACATCAGTAAAATAATTTATAGGCTTAATTTGCAATTTGGACCCTAATTATAGGTCCAAAGGTGGTTTGAACTATAAACTTTAAAAAAAATTTTGGTTTCAAATAATGTAAGCAGCCTACACTTCTTGAGGATCGTTGAGAGGCTCTTTATTGAATTGACTAAAATATCTTTTGAGAATATCTTCCTTTTTGATGTAAATATTTAATTATGTGATATTTCTGAGATTATGTTTTAGATGATCCACAATAACTATAGATAGGATACTAATATGTAATTTATATTGTCTGGCTCTGTGACAAAGCAAAGCTTCGTATTTTTGATTTGGTTTTGTAGAGGATTATTGTAGAGATTTTTGGGAGGTCTCAATTGCAGGGGAGGTTTTATCGAAATTTCTACAGAATTATTGAAACTTTTATTATAATGATTTTTATTCAATATGTCATAATTTTTAGTACAAATTCAACTGTTTTAAAAATAGAAAGATTTTTTAATTTAAGGCTTAAGAGATGTGTAATAGGATCCACATCCCATGCCGGTCATTTTTTATTTTTGGGGCATGACATATATAATTATAAATCATAGTTAAACCAAAGAATCGGTCAATGCTTTCCGACTAAAACACCCCATTATATTAAAGAAAAGAAAAATAGTTGAATAGCCAAAACTATCCTCCCATTATTTTTATATAAATTTTTATGTGTTAGCGTCACGAGTAAGACGCATCACTTATCATCAAACCTAATAATGGGGTTTCCAGTTCCACCTCTTATTGAATCATCTCAGTAATAAATTCGGGTTAACGTAAGTACTAGAAACTGTAGTCTTTTAAATAAGCTGATTGGTATTGGCTTCTTAGTTTTATATAATCAAATCTTAATTAGTAAATTCTCCATTGCCAAATCATATAACATGCATCTCATTCTTCAAGCTCTATAATATTTGCATGGAAGAACATGTCAAACTTCCCTGAAATTACAAAGAGGGGCCAGTTAGTATATTTTGGAAGACTAATTAAAATTACGGTGCAAAACCCATTATTCTTATAGAAAAATGCTTGAACGGACACAACTGCCCCTAACTTTGTGTTATAAATTGATGCGATCGACGCTTACGGAGATATACGAGTTAAACATTCAAACCTAATTATGGCTTTCAAGAGGCACTCTCTTATATTTTGGTGTTTCTCTTTCTTTCTGTGTTGCTTCTTTTTGGGAAGCTCGGTGGTGCTTCATGCTTCTTCGTACATGTGAGCATTTTCTCCTAATCGTTGAGCATTTTTTCCTTTGTTCATAACTTCTGCAATGGCTGACGATCTGAACTCCTCCCTAACCTTAGACTTTAATCATCCCCTCTATCTTCATCTGTCCAACACTCAGACTTCAACTCTTATCTCACAAGTCCTCACTGGATCGGATAACTACACAGTCTAGAGTCATGCAATTGGGCTGTCGATCCTTGGGAAGAATAAACTGGGTTTCATCATAGTCTCCTATACACAAGAAAGCCAACACGCTAAGTTATGCAATCAGTAGGATCGTTGTAATGAGATTGTAATCTCCTGGCTCATCAACTTGGTGAACAAGAAGATAGAAAATGGAATCGTTTTTACTGATAGTGCATACTTGATTTGGAAGGATTTAGAAGAAAGATTTCACAAGACTAATAGAATAAGGATTTATTTTGTTCATCGGTCTCTATCAAGCTGTGCATAGGGATAGTTGAATGTGTCTACTTACTACACAAGGATGAAGGAATTGTGGGATGAATATAGTATGCTTGTACCACTCTCTTCCTATCAATGTGCAACATTAAAGGATTATGTTCAAATAGTCAAAAAGTAGTGCCCATTTCAATTTCTAATGGGCCTTAATGATGATTACCAAGGGGTTTGTTCCCAAATTCTCCTGATGAGTCCTCTACTGAGTGTTAATCATGCTTACTCCATGATATCCTAAGAAGAGGATCAACGAGGTATCTCTTCTCAAGGAGAGACAGCCCCTTTTGAACCTGCTACCATGAACGTGAGAGGTGGCTAGACAGGTAGAGGAAGAGGAAAGGGAAGATCACAAGATGAGTGTACTCATTGTAAGAGGTGAGGTCACAAGCGAGAGAATTACTACCATCATATTGGATTTCCTACCAACTTCAAGAGCCAAGGAAAGTTAGAAATTCAAGTCAATCAAGTTGATAGGGAACAGTAAGAAATAAATTCTCC